ATTCACCCTCTTTCTTATTCCCATATTCATGCTTACCTCTCTTTATCCACCGTATTTCTCCCCGTCTCCTCTCTCCTGTTCACATTTGACCCTCTTTCTTCTTCCCACATTCTTTTCTACCTCTCTTTATCCACATCATTTCACCCCGTCTGCTCTTTTGTCATCCCTCTTCCAATTTGGCTCGCTTTCTTCTTCCCATATTCCTTTTATTATCTTTCCTCTCCTTCAATTCTCCTTTCTTTCGACATTTTCTATTATGCTACAATTTAAGCAATTTCGAGCAAAAACCCGGAAAATAATTAAAGTCAACAAAAATGAACTTTGGTAAATCTCCATCAGTAGACGTTTACCATAAAAACGAAATCTCTATGGGATATGATAAGGAAAATAGCTGGTAAACATCTCCCGAACGCTATAGAACTTCTCTCAATAAATAACTGTAAAATAACCAGCAAAAACTATATTCGCTGATCAATTAGAAAAAGCAATCTCTAAAAATTCTTATGCCAAGAATGTTACCTGACAATTTCTGAAGGTTATACAAAACATGGAAACACAAAAATTAAACTTTAAATCAAATAACGCTATCAGCTATAACCTACGATTCACAATAGAGGAACTAAATAAATCTTTAAAGAAAGCCTACAGATGATATCTACTATCAGTTGATAAAACAGTTTCCCAACAAAGCATAACAACTGTTACTAAATTTGTATAACAACATACGAACAAGTGGCAACTTCCCACATATGTTGAGACAGTCGTTCATCACCCCTATTCTAAAACCTGGAAAGGATAGCACAGACCCTGAAAGCTACAGGTTGATAGTACTAATGAGCTGCCTATCTCTATCTATAAAAGGCAGGATGCGTGGGTGTGTGTGTGTGTGTGTGTGTGTAACGAATGCACGGCCGCAATGTTCGACGAATTTGCACCAAAATTTACATGCACATGCTCCAAGTTAGCGGGAAGCCCAAGACCGACTTTGCATTTCCCAACTCTCATCGATAGTAAAAATAATCGATTTTTTTTTCATGCTTCTACGGCAGTTTTCATGTAGTTTGCGGCCATTTTCTACTGGCCAGACTGAGAGCCAATAGCTGGCTGCCACGAATAGGGAGGAAGATTCTATTGGCCAGCGTAAGAGCCAACAGCTGACTGACACGAATGTTAACTAGCATGCTAGCATGCAAAAAAAAATCGATAGCTGCATTCGTCACAAGTGGGAAAAATTTAAATCTGCATGGCACTTTACTCCAATTGGCTCATTCACTTGCTTAAACTCAACGTTGATTCTGATTCCGCAGAAATGAGTTGGGTGTGAAAAAGTATTTGTTGTTAACATTCTTTTTCATTCGTTTTTTTTCCAGTTACGAGTCCTTTTTTTAAAGCTGATCGTTTTGTGTTCATTTTGTTTAGTTCTTTTTTTTTGTAACAGATTTAATGTTTAGTATAGAGCTTAGAAAAAATTCGCAGTGTGAGATAGGCAAGAAGTAAGGCATGTAGCAACATCAGCACGGAAAAGGGCACTCCTTTAAAGGCAAGGAAGGGCAAAAATATTTTGAATCAAGTGATAGCGATTGCTGTATGAGTCGTACGATTTTTGAATTAAGCACGGGCAACGCCGGGCCATGCTGCTAGTATATTCTATTCATACGAATCTATTGTAAAAATCCTGTCGGTATTAAATAACCCATTGAGATTGATAAAATAAACCAAACCGTCCTAACTTTTTATCTGAAGTAGTCTGGCATATCAATATCTTGTTTATGTCATTAATTTCTTTTCTGATTACAGGTGCCATCCATTTTACTTTTTGCTACTCTTGGAAGTCCTCGAGTGATGTGGCTTCTGTTATATGGTACAGTTTTTTGTTTGCGATTCTGTAGCGTCAATCTGTAATGTTCAAAGAAGGATGATTTTTGCCGAGACTCTAAAGCTTTATTCACTCAAACCCAAAAAGGCAAGGAAGGGCAAAAATATTTTAAGTCAAGTGATATTGATTGCTGTATGAGTCGTACGATTTTTGAATCAAACACGGGCAACGCCGGGCCCTGCTGCTAGTGCAAAACTATAGAGAGTATGGTCAAGACCAGGTTGACTTGCTACCTGGAAATTAACCGCCTAATCAGTGACTACCATGAAATAAAAGAATACCATAGATTCCTTGTAAAGGAAGCTTTAAGAACGATCATCTCACAGCGGTATTTCTTTTTTTTTTACTTCGAAAAGGCGTATGATACAACATGGAACTTTGCTGTCTTGAAAGATCTGTATGAAATGGGTTTAAAACGAGGGCTGATTGAATTCAGATGGAATTTCCTGAAAGACCGGAAGTTTCAAGAACGTATAGGAACGTATCAGAACTGCAAGATCAAGAAGAAGGGGTTCCACAAGGAAGTATCATCTGTGACTCCATTTTGCTTAAAAATTAACTCCATAGTTAAAACCATAATCCTAGGAGTGAAAAGTTCTCTGTATGTCGACGATTTTCTATGTACAGAACTCAATACATGAATACCATTAAAACATTGTCTCAATAAAATACAAAAATGGGCCACTTAAAATAGGTTTACGTTTTCCAAAACGAAAACTAATTACCAACATGTCTGCAAATTAAGAAAATTGCACAGTGACCCATGTTTAAAATTAGAGCAAAAATATCAGTTGTGGAACAATACAAGTTTCTAGGCATTATCTTTGATAAAAGATTAACGTTCATTCTTCATCTAAAATATCTAAAAACAAAATGTAGCAAATCCCTACAATTTGTGAGGAGCAGATCGACTAACATTGATCAAATAATACAGAACACCACTTCGTTCAAAACTGGATTACGCTAGTTTCATATGTGGACAGGCCAGAAAGACGTACCTAAAAATTCTCAATGCAACCTATCATCAAGGTCTCTGATTAGTACTTGGGGCTTTTAGAAAATTCCCAGCGGAAAGCTTATACACAGAAGCTTGTGAAATATCTCCACAGTTACGGCACACTAAACTGGCACTACAGTATTATGTCAAAATAAAATCATGTCCAAGTAACCCTGCTTAGAACAGTAGCTTTGAACCGAATTACTGCGATTTATTCCAGCAAAAAGATAAGGCTATACAATTCTACAAACTCGGGATGAAATCCATTGCTAAAGAGTTAGGCACCACATTCTCAAAGATACAAGAAACGACTACACCCGGTATTGACTATCAAGTAACCCGAAGTTCTGCTAAAATTACATAATCTCCCAGACAAAATCACACTCACCCACAGTCCAGGATAAGTTTCAGGACATAAGGGCAAACTTCCGTAAACATACACCCATCTATACAGACGGGTCAAAATATGAGGACAAGATAGGATATGCAACAGTGGGGCAAAATGTTACCAAAAAAAGCAACTCCAAAAGTTGCAATCGAGCATCTTCTCAACATTATCTCGAAGAGCAATCTTCTCAACATTATCTCGGAGAGCAAACAAATATTTTCCAAATTTTTTCGGACTCTCTATCCGTCCTCTTTGCTTTGAAGGGAAAAAAAGCCATCAACCCACTTTTGAAAATATTATGCAAAATGAGAATACTGGATTCCTAGCCACATCGGAGCTAAAGGTCATAAGCAAGCAGATCCAGTAGCCAAGTTGTCGTCACCTCCCCATTACATTCTTCATCCTGAGTATGACGATAAACTACATCCGCATCCTGGGTAAGACAATAAACTATGTCCGACAGCAAGCCCTCTTATCAGGAGGTTTTGAGGAGCATGGAACCACTACTTAATTGTTGGTGTTCCCAGGTCCACCCTTACCCGGGGTGGTAGAACCTGTTAGGGTCCCAGCTATGTGTTACGGTTTTTTGTGTATATATAACTAGTTTTTTGTGTATATATAACTAGTGAGCGAGTCATAATGACTTATTTCCCTTTATAGTCTACCAATTGAAGATTAACCAATCAGGAGCCGCACAACACTGTATCCGTCGTGTATAAAGGCGGCCATCTTTGTTTACCTAACGGAATGACCAGAGGCAACTTGTCCGGCGAACACGACAGAAGGAAGAACTACACTCTGCTGTGATATCCACTGCGAACCTGCACTACGCTTTCCTACTGTCTCCGAAATATTCACTGCCAACCTCTGGATTCTATACTTGAGGACGACCGTCATGAAAATGTCTAACACTATGGGCAAATAGTTAACCCCTAACCAAAAAAAAATATAAACAGCAATATATTTTTGAGAAAAAAAATTACAAGCAATACCATTTTCAAAAACAATATTACCAGTAATGTTGGCATTAAATAACCCATTGAGGTTGATGGACCATAAAACAAAGCAAACCAAACCAAAAACTATAAACCAAATGTGAATGTCAAAATTAAATTTCGCTACAAATCTTGTATCTGAAAAGAATACATTCATGAAACAAGAAATGAAACTATGCTGGATTCTTAACCACATCAGAGTTAAAGGTAATAATGAAGCAGATTCAGAAGCCAAGTTGGCTTTAGATGCGAATGTGGATACAAGGACCAAAATCTCATACACAGATTTTAAGGTTATTAATAAATACATTCAAAAGGAATCGTAACGTACCTGGACAATAACCTACACAATAAACTCTTCAGCTCAAACTAGGATAATGGAATTCGGCTCCAAGAAAATCTCGTAAGGAAGAAGTGGTTCTTGTCTGCATATGTATTGGCCATAGAATAACCCACTCGTACTTACTAAACAAAGATCAACCAGTATGCCAAGCATGTAAAACTGCATATACTATTAAAGATATATTAACTGAGTGCTCAGATTATGCTCTCTAAAGACAAAATACTATAATAATAAAAATACTATAATAATAATATAAAGTTTCAGAACATATTGGCAAACTTCCCCAACCTTACACCTATCTATACAGACAGGTCAAAATGTGAAGACAAGATAGGATGTGTAGCAGTGAGCCAAAATATTACCAAAAAAAGGTGCTCTCCAAAGGGAAGTTTTATTTTTAC